TTTTTCATTTAAAAACATGAGATGCAGTGGGATGGGGAAAAACCCGCCATAAAGTCTCGATATATGTTTTTTTCAAAGTTAAACTTGCATTAATTTTACATGGCTTTCTAACCATGCGGCTCCTTTGTGTGAGACACGAGTGCAACGGTGATAGATGTCCCTCTAGAAAAAATGCGCGAAATATGCGTTTGTGAATGGCTTGGTTTCAGTTTTGATGTAAACAAGATCTTCTCCGCATTGATGTATTTTTAATGACCAATGCAGCAGCGTCGCATCTAGTGGCTTCAACTGGATAGGCTAACAAAAACATTATAATGCAACGACACTTACATCGTCATCGCATCTTGTGCGCCACTGATAAAGCTGCCTCCTTAATGCACACCTAAAATTCGAATGCAACATTTTTGCATTCGAATGTGGATTTTTATTTGAAATTCGACGAATATTCTACTTTTTTTTTGACAGCCCTAATGTGTTATACTTGCAATGACTTCACTGATTATATCAAATTAAGCAACATTCAATATTGCGATGGTTTTAATGTTCTTTTTATTTCTCTGTGAAGTTTCCACGTAATTAGACTAGATCGAAGAAAGCATTAAGATGTTTATATGTCTCTGATTTAAACTTCAACAGCAGAAACACTGTTTGAGTTGGTATAATTTTCATGTACCAATTTTTCTCCACCGTTTTAGTCTGAGCAGCCTGGTGAAGTCGGCAGACACAGGAAATGGAGTGGCGTTTCATTCAGGTGACAATGTCACGATGGACCTGGAGCCTCAGACTCTGGGAGTGTCGTTCATCGACAGGGCCATGCAGCTGGTAAATGGTGGTCTTTTGTGTCGATTTAACAGTAACTCCTGGATTGTTAAGTGCACTCAGCACATTTTTTCTTGACTTATCTCTGAGGCGTAAAATCCCTGGTTGACCTTTTGGCCGCAGTGTTAATGTTTCATCTTTTCCAAGACTTACATTATCAGTGCACTAGTTTCTAATGGGATTCTGTGTACACTGCAAAAAGATGGCTTATCTTACTTAGTATTTTTGTCTTGTTTCTAGTCAAAATATCTAAAAATTCTTAAATCAAGATACTTTTACTAGATAAGCCAAATGACTTAAAATATTTAGTCTTGTTTCCAGGGGAAAAAAACTAAATTAAGTGCATTTAGCTTAAAACAAGTAAAATTATATGCCAGTGGGGTAAGTAAAATATTCTTAAAACAAGAGCATATTACTTACCCCACTGGCAGATAATTTTACTTGTTTTAAGCTAAATGCACTTAATTTAGTTTTTTTCCCCTGGAAACAAGACTAAATATTTTAAGTCATTTGGCTTATCTAGTAAAAGTATCTTGATTTAAGAATTTTTAGATATTTTGACTAGAAACAAGACAAAAATACTAAGTAAGATAAGCCATTTTTTGCAGTGATATCATTAATCACAATGAAAATTCTAGTCTATTTAAGATGTTAAAAGTAGTGGTCGACTAATATGAGTTTTTCAAATAAGACAATGGCGATAATTAAATGAACACTTACCCTATCATTCACAAGTTTGGGGATGCATTAATTTGATCAAAAGTGACAAGACATTTATAAAGTTACAAAAGATTTCTATTTCAAATAAATGCTGTCCTTTTGAACTTTCTGTTCATCACAGTTTCCACCAAAATATGAATCAGCACCACTATTTTCAATATTGATGATAATCATAAATGTTTCTTGTGCAGCAAATCAGCATATTAAAATGATTTCTGAAGGAACGTGTGACACTGAAGACTGGAGTAATGATGCTGAAAATTCAGCTTTTCATCATAGGAATAAATTACATTTTACAATATATTTAATGAATTCAAATGCAGCCTCTGTGAGCAAAAGAGCCATTTAGGAACAGTAAAAAAAAATCTTACCGATCCCAACATTTTTAATGGCAAACAACTTTATGCCAAGTTTATTGCCAAGTAAACAGTTATTTGCTAATAATCTCAGATTTCAGTGCCTGAAGTTTTTAATTCACCTCATTGATTTCAGTCTAGCTAGCTAGCTGTGGGTTGAAGCATTGATTTGTGTCTGATCTGGATTCTCTGGTTTTTATTATTAGGATGAGAATTTTGCAGACTCTGGTAGGCAGCCAATCACATTTGAGAATCCTCTGTACTCGACTGCAGCCGGCCCATCCAGCGATCCAGCAGTAATACACGCTACTCAGGTATATTGCCTTCTCGAAAACATTTCATAGCCTTCTAGACATTGCTAACAGTGTGAATGAAACATGTTCGACCTGAGCGGGTCTTCTGTTGAGTTTTGTGTTTCTGTGCTTCATACAGGTCACTGTGAACGTCAGCGGTGACCAGGTGGAGAATAACTTCTCAAACCCTACGTATAAAGCTCATGAACAGGCAGTGGAGGTGAAGAGCAGACCTGCAGAGCAAACAACCACACAGGTGGGAACATCTGAACATTTGTCCACAGTTCAGTCATTATTTCCTGTTGTTTCTCCATCATGCGACCATGTTTATTTTATTTTATTGTATTTTTTATTATTTTATTTATTTTAATGTTTAACATTTTTTTATATTTTATTTTAATTAATTAATTGAATTAATTGTATTTATTTTTATTTTTTTTAAACTTTTTTATTTATTTGTATTTTATTTTATTTTTTTTATTTTTTTTGCAGGAGTCCAAATGGAGTTTCTTTAAAAGAAAACTGAAGCCAAGCACAACATTTGAAAACCCTACATATTCAGAGGTGAGTAGAACTGACTATGTTAACATTAATTTATAACTTCACTTGTCTAAACAAAAGTAATAGTAGTGAAAGAAGAAACAGCCAATTGTAGAAAGTCAAGCGATCAAGGAAACACAAGTATGACGTTTGCATTTTGTTTAAGCAGACTCATTTATCGAAAGTGATTTACAAATCACAAGAATTTTGCCAACAATATCCATAGTACACAATGCCAAGTTTATAATATTTAACAAAATTAGTACGTAAGCCAGAACATAGGTGAAATCTATCTTTCATAGATAAATATTAAAAAAGGAACACAATTCAATATAGTCTGACAAAAGTACAGTATATATATATATATACAGAATATATATATATACAGAATATATATATACATATATATATATATATATATATATATATATACTAATGCATTCCTCTTATATGCAATTCAATCCTATGATATGAAATCGGGACAGTTAATAGAGTCAAGATGATCAACAGTTCTGTGTGGCCCGTGATTTTTCAGCCTGTGTGATGTTTTTGTAGTTCATTATACTCTTCAGAGTTATTATTGTTAGCTAAAATTAAAAACCATAAAAAACAATTTAATTATTTGAAATAAAACTGACTAAAATATAAAATCCTTTTTTATATACTATTATAACATTTATTAATATTTTAAATGAGTTTTTATTTTGTTTTCCATTTAATTTTAGGTTAGGTTTTGGTAATTTTGTCATTTTATTCTTTTTTATTTTATTTTTATTTATTTTTTCTATTCAGCTGTATTTCAAGTTTCATTACTGGAACTTAAACATATTTATTTTTTATTTTTATTTTTCTCATTTTATTAAAACTAAATAAGCTAAAATTACTGAAACTTGGGAGTTAAAATGAAACCAGAAAATCGAATTCAAAACGTTAACAAAAATTCTAATAGCATTTCAATGATACTGAAATTTTGTCACTAAAAGGTATCATAATAAACCATCAGCAGTATTTCCACAGGAGAAATTAAATGCATGTGGACAGGAATATTCTCATAGCTGTAAAGCATGTAAACGTTATTTTCAGAATAAAGTTTTAACCAGAATATGGGTCTTAATGTGAGAATGATGCGCATGTGGTCAAAGTTGACGTTGTCTTTGTGTCAGATGCAGGATGAGCAGACGCATGGAGCTGCAGACGCCAGCTCTTCATCACAGCCGTCTCCTTTCGGTCCTCCTCTCAAACCCCTGAAACGAGAGAAACTGTGCGCCTATTCACCGACAGAGGACACCTTTACAGACACGGCCAACCTGGTTAAAGAGGACAGTGAAATATGACCATCACACACGGGAAAATACAAAGAAAAACTCCCTTTGCACAGAATCTATTTTTATATGCAGCCTGCATACGACAGAAATCAATTTAAGATTATTTTTGAAACAAAAAAAAAAGTATAGATGAAATGTTTGTATAGCCTACAGAAAAGAGACTTTGCCTTCTGATACTTTGTATGCCAATTCATGTTGTATGATTCTTTTTTTATTATTGTTGTGATGTCATATTTGTATATCTTTGCACTAATGCTGCTGAAGGAGAATGTTATGAATATTTTGTACATTTGTAAATTGAAAAGATTTTGTTTGATAATATCCTCTGGTCAGATGTTATTTTGAAATAGATTATTACTTATTCCTGGAGATTCACACACACACACACATATGCCAACGATACTGAGTAAAAGTGCTTTGAGAGCCAGCTGAGACTTTGCCATTTGATCTGATTATTCGTAAAGGAATAGTTCACCCAAAAATGACAATTCACCGTCTGGACATCCAAGATGTAGATAAGTTTGTTTCTTCATCAGAACAGATTTGGAGAAATGTAGCATTACATCACTGATTCACCATTGGATCCTCTGCAGTGAATGGGTGCCGTCAGAATGAGAGTCCAAACAGCTGATAAAAACATCACAATAATCCGCAAGTAATCCACACCACTGCAAAGAGTGAAGCAAAAAGCTGCGTGTTTGTAAGAAACAAAGCCATCATTAAGGTGTTTTTAACTTCAAACCGTTGCTTCCAGCTAAAATATCAGTTCACAATCCATAATAATGCTTCCTCCAGTGCAATTTTTCATTTTTCTGATATATCTGTCTGATATATATGTCTGATATATCACTCATGTGCAGATCTACTGAGAGCTATTAAAGGAATAGTTCGCCCAAAAATGAAAAAATCGGTCATTATTTACTCTCCCGCTCCAGTTGTGAGTAGTAAGTTGTACAGTAACTTTGTTTAAGGAACTGACACCAAATTGCATGATAAAGATCTGCTTATTTTCCTCAAAATAACAGCATATGGGTTTCAAATGACATCAGGGTGAGGAAATAATGACAGAAATGGTGAACTACTCCATGCAGAGAAAGGGACTCTCATTAAAGAAAGTCTGAAAGTATGATAATGCAGTGACATATTCCGCTGTAAACACATTTTAATAGAAGTAGAAGACATACCACTTCTGTTTTATATATTGAAATAATACTTGAAATTTCCCAGTTTATATGCATGTGATTCTAACTGTGATATCTGGAGATCTCTGATGTCCCATCAGCGTTTCAAGGGCTTTTCATACTTGCTTTCCCATCTGATGAAGTGCATGGGCTGTGAAGTCAATATATTTGAAATGATTTTGTATATTAAAGACAGTAAAAAAAATGAATATTATGAATTTGTTCATCTTGACATGCCGATTATGTTACTGTTGAAAGGAACTGGAAACAACGCTGCTGTGAAAAATCAAATAAATTTGTTTTATGAGAAATTGTAAGATCTTTTTGATGTACAACAAATACACACACACACACACACATACAGAGTTCTGGCATGACGTCCGATAGCTCTAACTCAATCTGACCTAATGACATCATTATCACATGGCACAGCTGATTGGTTCTCTCCTGTAGAGAAACCATAAAATATTAAGGCCAACATTATATAAAATGCATTTTATATATATTACACATTTCTCTTTCTGTCTGTCCCCCTTATTTCCACATGGTACTAATAGGCTAAATGATGTGGGTTGGGTTAATTAGTGAAGACAGGTGATGCTGTTACAAAGAAGCCTTAAAGAACTCTGCAAAACTTGGTGCTGATTGAGAGGGTTGAAGAAATGAGTGTGTGAGTGAGGGAGGAGTGATTGTGCAGAGTGAA